CCTGTTAGGGACCAGCACCCATGACTCTATCCTAGAAGAGCTGAAGCCAGAGCCCCATGCCTGTAGCATTTCCCAAACCAGTCTGCCTCCTGCCTAGTCCACTGAACACCTACTGTGTGCCAGGTCTTGAGCTCACAGAACAGGCCATGTGGTGGGTACTCATCCCTCTGCAGGTTACGCAGAGGCTGCTTGACCTGTCTGGGGGTAGGAGGGGCTGTCTATGCCAAGGGTCATTGGAAGCCATCTGCCTGGAGTCTGGCCACTATAGCACTCACTACCTGCAGAACTTGCCTCCTCTCCAAAAGCAAATGTCCCTGAGTCCAGTTAATTCTGTGACATGCTGACCAACTATCTCTTCAATAAGTAGTAAGGGTATCTAGTCTCCCAAGGTGAGCCTTACTGTGGCCCAACTCACCTGTGGCTTCCAGGTGGTCACAGGTAAAAGCAAAATGAAGGACATCTCTAGGAACTCTCGACTGGCTCTGGCAGGAGGGAGCTAGTGTCTCTGGCAGCTATGGTGGTGTGACTCCCTTCCCCTTCCTCATGCAGTTAGAATTTGGCTCAAACTCATACCCAACCCCCAGCAGGGACCTTGGGCTTCCACAGTGGGTACTCAGCATACACACACAGCAGGCATACCGCAGGAACACAACAGGCCTGCCTGCTGGGCTTGGGATGCTGACAGCTCCACTGGGAAATGGGCAGTGAGCTCCCTGTGGGTTTCCACATGAGAACATATGACACTTTACAACCAGGCCTTTTAATCTGTTCCTTCTGAAGATCCCTCCACCATAAGTGGCCATTGGAGCCCAGAAGCTGCTCTGCACTAGAAGAGGTTGGGTGGCAGTCACCCACTTCCTCAAAGGCCTGGAGCAAGAATGCTGCCTGACACTGGGGTGCCTCTGATAGGGGAGTGAGGGTGCACTCCTGCTGTCCTGAGCCATGTTCTTCATCTACATGGGCTGCTGGGACCCAGTACTTCTACCTCTCCTCCTTGTCCACAGATCTCCTGAGGTCTCAAAATGACCTAGTCCCTAGTCCTGGGCCTGGCTGAGTGAGAAGGGCTGTTCTTGGTGGGAGAAGGTGGTGGGAGTTGGCAGCTGGACAGCACTGCCTTGCATTTGTGCCCCAGTGCCCCTGCCTGTGACAGAAATAACAGGTACTGCCACATTATAGTTAGGGGACAGTGCTAAGAGAAATTTCCACAAATCACTGGACTATATCTTAGCCTCGATGTCAAATGGGGTGAGGGAAGGTGGGTATTAAAGAGAACACTGGAACACTACCTGGCTTTGGGAGCCCCAGGTGCCTGGAAGGCCTACAAGGAGAAGTGGTCTCAGGCAGTCAGATCACCTATCCTTCTGGGACTAAGGGTGGCTACAGCTCCTTGGCTGTGCTCTGGCACAGATCATGCATGCCTGGGAATCAACCTTCCCTTGCCTCTAAGGTGCTGCCCTGTGCTCTCTGCAGCCGGGAGCCCAGAGATGCTAATGTTCTCCTTGGCAACATGCTGACGCAAAAGCCAGCAGGCGGGCTGGGGGGGGGGGGGGGCTGTAAATGCTTCTCCAGGCATGGGGGCAGAAGGGGAATGCCAGCCTCCATTAGAGGGAAGATGAGGCCTTGGAACTGAGCAAGAAAGATGTAGAGGAGCTGTGGCCAACCCTTGGCACTGGGCCCGTGGTCTGTTCTTGGCTGAATTGTCTTTATTGGGGCTTGGAGGCCAGCTCAGGGTATTCCAAGAGAGAGCAAACGGTGGAAGGCTTGTCTTAGTATCCATGGTACTATCCCTGGCCCAGCTGGAGGAACAGGCAGGTCCTTAGTGCTGTCCCCACCCTGCACAGCCGGCTGCTGGCTGGAGGAAGCATGGGAGGGTATTGTCTTTCCTCAGCAGCCTGTTTGTTTTGCATCCTCAGATATTACTGGTAGAGCGTGAAAGGTCAGAATCATTTGGAAGCCAGTGAATTTCCAGCCAGAAATCAAGAATTTCCTTTTCTGGCGAACAACCACTTTGCTAGGATGTGGAGATGAGGGGCGTGTGTGTGTGTGTGTGTATGTGTGTGTGTGGTGTGTGTGTGTGTGTGTATGTGTTTCCAGTTGCCAGCCTCTCCCTTTAGAAAATACCCTGAATGCCACCCTATGCCACCTCAGAGCCTAGTTTCTCCAGGAGATAGATATGGGTCTCACAGAGATGCACATGGGGCCAGGTGCTGGTGGTTCATGCCTGTAAGACTAGATACTCAGGAGGCTGAGATCTGAAGGATCGAGGTTTGAGGTCAGTCTAGGGAGAAAAATTCACTACACTTCATCTCTAAAATAACCAGCAGAAACCTGTGCTGGAGATATAGTTCAAGTGGTAAAATGCCAGCCTAGCAAGCAAAAAGCTCTGAGTTCAAACTCTAGTACTGCTGAAGCAAACAAAGATTAACATGGGGATAGGGCTGGAGAAGGCTAGAGACAAGAAGTTCACTGGGCCCTACCAGCAGGTGCTGGTTTGCTCATGTGTGATCAGCGACCCACTTTGTCATGAGTGACTCAGTGAGGGGGGGGCGGGAAGGGAAGGCTGCCAAGGAGATAGTGTTTGGGACAGTCCTGACAGAATCGGAAGACAAGATGGTCATGAGCTTAAGGTTGGACAGAATGGTGCTAGGAGAGCAAAACAAGCTGTTAATGAATGGAATTTGAGGGAGGGGTTGCTGGGGAAGTGGCATAGGCCAGGTGAAGCATAAGGGCCTGGAGCAGGCAAAAATCTGGCCTTGGACTCATCTTTTTTTTTTTTTTTTTTTTTTGGGTCCGGTCGTGGGGCCTGAACTCTGGGCCTGGGTGCTGTCCCTCAGCTCTTCAGCTCAAGGCTAGCACTCTACCACTTGAGCCACAGCGCCACCTCCAGCTTTTTTCTTTTTGCTTATGTGGTGCTGAGGAATCGAACCCAGGGCCTCAGGCATGCAAGGCAAGTGCTCTACCACTGAGCCACCTTCCCAGCCCCCTTGGACTCATCTTTGAGGACATTGCCACCTAACTGACATTTTCAAAGAGCAAAGGTGACAACCAATTCTTCTATGAAACTCAGTGTTAAGGCATCCTGGATCCAGGCACGCCTCTGGGCACAGGCTGCCAAGGATGGGCTGGGGTCAGGAATGCCTCTAAGAGAATTTGCTATGCAGACCCTGGAGATGAGGGATGGGCAACCCATTTGGATCTAGAAGCAGCCCATCTGGATCTAGAAGTCTTGAGAACAGTTTCTAGTCAGCCCCAGGGAATAGAAGAAGTGAACAGGAGCTTGAGCCTGTGTGACTGCCGACTGACAGAACTGCCACAACACCATCCCTCAGGCCCAGCCCAGCTACTTCATAGTGGTGCCTCATTAAAGGAGTCTCATCTTGCTCATCCATTGGGATGTCATCTCTACAGGAACCACATGATACTCAGGTGGGACAGCAGAGGAGTAAAACAAACTAAACCCTAAAGACCATTTACTCCTAGATGGACGTGACTGGGAGCACCTGTGACTCATCACCTGACTTAGACTGGGGCCACCATCAACACCCAGAGGTTTGACTCCTGCTGTCACTGCCACCTGGCAAAAGACCACCAACCCTCTCTGCCTAGAAGAATGCTCAGGCTCTCAGCACGGTGGTCACATCCTGCAGCCTTTCCACAGATTTCCCAGGGGAAGGAGTGCAGGCTGAACTTACAGTGCTTGGGTGATCCAAAGAATAAAGCTGTCACTTGCTTTAACAAGACTCAATGAAGGTACTGTGCCCACCTCCACCTGTGCCATCTTCTCTGAACTACAGGGCACCCACAGCCACACTCATAGATCCTCAAGGACTCCCTCTTTGTTCCCATTCTACTTACCTGCAGGCTTAAAGGTCTTTCTCTTAGTATAGGTTCTGAGTGTTTGTCTGGTAACAAGCTTTGCTGATCAGGACAGCTCTAGGGTGGGCTGAACCTGGCCATGCTGGTCACTTGTCTGGTACATGGCTTCCACTACTGCTACTCTTGAGCACCCAGGTACTTCAAGACTTAATGAGACTTGTGCCTGCTAGCCTTCCATCTCCTTGCCAGGAGTTTCTCACTCCCTCTCTCTAGTAATTCTTCTCTCAAGCTCCCAGTAGCTCAGTACTGAACCCAATTCTCCCTCAGGTCACCCCCATCTACTTCATGACTCTAATCTTCCGCACACAGTGTTTCTCAGTGTAGGCCGAACACTTCAAAGAATCCAACAGCCACCCTGGCCCACACACTTACTGAGTTTCTACCACCAGGACTCCAAGCCCAGGTTCTGGTACCTAGAACTAAACTTTCTTTACTCCATCACCACCTGATTCTTAGGATCAAGATGGGGTTATAGCAGTGATAGCTATTTCCAGGACCCACAGGCTATTTGGTGTTGGTAAGAACTTCAAGGATTTGCCAGACCACCATGTGAACCAAAATGAGGCCTGATCGAGTCTTGTCCTCTCTTGTACTGTGGCTGCCATAGTTTAGGCATGATCTATTAACGGCACTGAGGTGGGAGCAAGCTGGGAACCTGGGCAGCAGGGCCAGCATATGCCATGAGGGCACACTTAGTGCTACCTGCAACTCATGGAGGGAGGCTATACCTGATGGGGAGAGGTGGGGCTGCCTGGTGAGCCAGACCACCGTCTGTGGAGCCCAGAGGTGTGCGGCCTCATTTGGAGGGTGTCAATGTGCTGAGGGAATGTCAGAGCATGGTTACCTAGGTCAAAACAAGGCTCCTAAGCCCAGCATAGCCCTGCTTGCCAAGGGTGCCCCTCTGTGGCTGACATCTTAGCAAGTCCTGTGGTGCCTGCAAGACACTGTGTTCTACACTGTGTTCTCTGAGCACAGCAGGAGGGGCACACTCACCCCCATCTCACTGGAGCCATCACAGGCATCATGTGGCTGGATTGACCCAGCTACAGACTCTCCCTGCCTACATGAGTCCACCTGATTCCCAACCCAGCAGGAACAAGCACAGAAATCTGGGTTCTACTCACCGTCTGGTTATCTTCATAGAGCTTCAGATCATAGCCACTGAGCTCCACACAGAAGATGATGGCTGTGACACCTTCGAAGCAGTGGATCCACTTTTTGCGTTCCGACCTCTGCCCACCCACATCCACCATCTTAAATGTGAGCTCCTTGAAGGTGAACTTGTTCTCCACAATGCCTGTGGTCATGTCCCGGGAGCGCAAGATGTCCTCCACGGTGGGGATGTAGTCTGGTGCGGCGATGCGCTCCAGGTCATTCAGGTAGTAGGCCGCATTGTCCTCCAGGTGGTACTCGCTCGAGCGACCAAAGCAGGCCTGTGCCCCAGGGTCAGCCCACAGCCGCCGCATGACGCCTAGCAACTCAGGTGTGATTTCTCCCTTGCTCTCGGCTGGACCAGTCAGTGCAAAGAGCTGCACTGCATCATACGCACGATCTGGGTTGTGGAAGTCAATTTTGAGGGCAGCCAGGGCCCGGATGATGCGGGTCAGCGAGTCAATGGCGTTATAGATGATGAGGGGTTTGTACTCCTTGCAAGCCTCCAGGTTAAAGCCACCACTGTGGATGATCTTCATCTGTTTGACTATGGTGCTCTTGCCTGAGTTGCTAGTACCCAGTAGGAGCAGTTTGATCTCGCGGCGCTGCCGCTGGCTCTCTGAGCGCAGGTGGCGGTCGATTCTTCGGGACCGCCGCGCTGCCTCTTTCTCCTCTGAGCTTTGCCGACATCCCATGGTCCGGCAGCGGCAGACCCAGATGTGGGAGCACTGACTGTGCGCCTCTCCCTCTGGCCACCAAGTAGGGACGGCTGCAATGAGGGATGCTGAAATGTGGGCTGGTGTGCCCAGCAGACAAGAGCCAGGTGCTTTGGGAGTGTTCAAGGCAAAACTGTGGTCAATACTGTGACACACTGCAGCCCCTGCCCCAGTGCCTCTTCTCCAGCCAGCATGGCGCTCTGTGCAGTGGGGCGGTGGCCGCACCCTCCCTTCTAGTGACACTCCACCTCCCTTGTCAGCGCTGTGGCCTGATTTGCCGTTGTCATTCCTTGGCCACGGTGGGAAGTAGTCCTTTTGCGTCTGCCTAGGCTGCTGCCGTCTGGTTGCTGGTTGCTGTGGAGATGCTGCTAAGCGCGGCTGGAGGGCCCTGCACTCCTGGTGGCCCCCCTGCCTCAGGCTGCTCCGGCTCCCTGCGTTGCATCCGGCCTTTCACCTGCCAAACAGAGAACAGCATGAGCCATCTCCCATGAGGTGGACTGGGAAAGGGAGAAGCCCACAGATCTTAGAAAACACAGGGATAATCCAACAGTTCCCTGCTGTTCTGGGGGTGTTGTAAGGGTAGTGACCAAACCACAGTAAACCCGACATTCCTAGCTGACACCAATTTCATGCCTCACTCCCTGCCAAGACAGTTGAAGCCAGGTGCATGAGGGAGGGGAATAAGTGTTCAATCCCCCACCTGCTTACCTCTTTGGTGGACTTAACTCTGCTGAGGCTCCCTGCCTACTGACTTGGCTGGCCTCTCCTTCCCTGAGCCTCCTTGTTTGTTGAGGGTTCTATAACATAACTGCGATGAAGCCCTGTACTCCCATTCTTCCACAGCACTGAGGGAGGTCAGTCCCACCCTACTTAACAATGTGGTCCTGACTGGAGGCCTGAAGGAGGCCTAGATCCCTAGGATGTGTCTAGAGGGGAATCTTGTCCTGCCTGCCCTCAAGGGCAGTCTGTGGGTCAACTCTTAAGCAAACAGACTGGGCCAAAGCAAGCTGAAGGCTGCAGGCCAGGGGTCACTGGATGCCTGAGTGACAAGAGCTGGAGGTGGGGGTCAGGCCTTGAGAAGGGCAGAGGTGGTCTTACTCCTGGTCGTGTGAGGGAAGCTAGGGCTCAGGAAGGGGACAGTCAACAAAACAGGGAGACATGGTGAGGTGTGTTTGCGATAGGCCAGGGCAGTTCTTGAGGCACTGGGAATTGCTAGGTCCAGGCATTCCAGAGGAGCCCAGCCACCCCCCCCACCCCATTCTCACTAACCCTGACTAGGCCAAGGCACTGAAATGAGGTACAGCTGTGCTCACAGGTTGGGCAGGTCTATAGCATCCAGGCTTCTGAGGGCTACCTGTCGACCAGAATGGGGGAGGAATACATCCTAGGACACCTCTGTGGCCTTCTGGATGGTAGGGTTAGGTCCCTCCACTCAGGCTTCTGTCTCTGACTGGGAGCCCAGGGTGGCGCCTAATGATACTGCATACTTCTTGTTTTCCTTCCTGATGTCCTCTCTCCAGTCATCCTACCACAGTCATGCTCTTACTACTCCAGTACTCTCTTCCCCTAGAGCAGGTCCCAGGTGGGAAGACCCCAGGCCGACAGGCCCTAACAGCAAAGGGTCTCTATTTCTGTCTCTAGATAGTGTTAGAAACAATCTTCACTCTCCAGCCTGGTTCAAAACCCTCAGATCATCCAGTTAGCTGTTATCTGTGCCCCTCTCTATTTCATATCTCTTATAGACCTTCCTCCACGAATCCCAGTGATCCTGCTCTGAACTGGCCCTGGTGCCATATCTCTCCCTGGCCCCAGATTCTGGCTTCTCTCAGCTACTGTGGCCTCCTTTCTCTCCTGTGTCCTGGACCCACCTACCTTCAATAGTATTATTATTATTTTTTTGGTTGGTTGTGGGGCCTGAACTCTGGGCCTGGGCACTGTCCCTAACTCCTCAGCTCAAGGCAAGTGCTCTACCACTTGAGCCATAGCACCACTTCTGGTTTTCTGAGTGGTTTATTGGAGATAAGAATCTTCTGACTTTCCTTCCCAGGCTGGCTTTGAACCTCAATCCTCAGATTTCAGCCTCCTGAGTAGCTAGGGTTATAGGTGTGAGCCATTGGCACTGGGCTCCAATAGTTTTATTTTTTTGTCGGTCATGGGGCTTGACCTCTGGGCCTGGTCACTGTCCCTCAGCTCTTCAGCTCAAGGCGAGTGCTTTACCACTAGAGCCACAGTGCCACTTCTGGTTTTCTGAGTGGTTTATTGGAGATAAAAGTCCATGGAGTTTCCTACTTGGGCTGGCTTTGAACCACAATGCTCAGATCTCAGCCTCCTGAGTAGCTAGGATTACAGGTGTGAGCCATCGAAGCCCGGCTTTCCAATAGTTTTTGTGTGTGTGTGTGTGTGTGTTGGTCGTGGGGTTTGAACTCTGGGCTTGGGCGCTGTCCTTTTCAATAGTATTTTTAATGGCACCTTTCTCCCTAAGTCAAACCTGAGGCTCTCAGAAAACTCATTTTTTATATGTTTTTGGCCAGGTATGCACCTCACCTTTTGCTACCTGGCAAGTACCAGACTAGCAAGTGCCAGTACATAGCAGTTACTCTCCTTCTATCCCTTAGATTTATGAGCATCACACCTTACTATCCTCTGCTGCTGCCCTAGCCTCACTGCTGCCTCCACAGCAGCCCTCAGTTAACATATGACCCACATGACCTTGTTGCTGCACCTCCTGACCAGGAGAACAGGGTGAGCAGTACCCAGTGCGTGGCAGGCCCTCAACAGCCTCCTCATTGCTCTAGTCTGCAGGAACCCCTCTTGGCTTCTGAATAGTACTGTTTGCTTTTCATAGGTCAGCTCATGCTCAGTGCCTTCCTGCCAGTGGGCCTCATTCCCGCCCCCCCCCCCCCTTCTGCCACTAGTATCTCCATGCCCTATGCCTCCCTCTCTGTGGGCCCTTTCTCTGCCCTCCAGGCTAGGAGAGAGGTCAGCTTTGTGAAGTCTCTGGCTCTACAAAGCAGACAGGCCTATGTGAACAGGGGTTAGGCCTGGTAGCAGGGGGGTACCCCCTCTGTGTGATGTATGTGGGCTGTGTCAGTAAGCCCTGAGAAAGGAGAGAGGTAACAGGTGAGAGGAAGAGGCATCAAAGAAGAGGAAGAGGAAGCCAATGAAGAATATTTTGTTTTGTTTTGTTTTGTTTTTTTTGGTCATCTGGCTTGAACTCTGGGCCTGGGCACTGTCCCTCAGCTCTTCAGCTCAAGGTTAGCGCGCTACCACTTGAGCCACAGTGCCACTTCCGGTTTTCTGGTGTTTAATTGGAGATAAGAATCTCATGGACTTTACTGCCCGGGCTGCCTTTGAACCTTCATCTTCAAATCTCAGCCTCCTGAGCAGCTAGGATTACAGGTGTGAGCCACTGGTGCCCTGCTTGCCACTGAAGAGTTTTAAGCCATGAGTGCAGGTGCATGTTTGTGACAGTAATGGGTAGACTCCTCTGTGTGTGTGTGTGTGTGTGTGTGTGTGTGTGTGTGTGCAGTTGCACATGTACTGGGTAGTTCCATGTGGTGTCTAGGTACAGAGATGATTACGGGGGGGGGGGGAACTGGCTGTGACATGACAACTTGGGCTGGAAAGAGATGAACTAATGGCTCCTTGTTACTTTGCACAGCATGGTACTTGGCAGTGGGGTTAGGGGGAGGGGGAGCTAGAGTTGCTAAGCAAGGCAAAAACCTAGTCCTAGAATTTGTTCAGCTAGAAGAGCAGAGTCAGACCATGAACAGTATATAAATAGTGAGTGACAGAAGGTACTAAATGCAGCACTACATAAGCAGAGTAATGGGTGGGGGTGCAGGATGCACATCTGCAAATGTGCGTGGGGCTAGCATCTCAACAGGTAAGATGACCATAAACATGTGATGAGGAAGCCACTGCCAGTGCAAAGGGCCTGTGCTAGGAATGTCCCTGGCTAGTCTGAGAGTCTGGCAATCAGAAGCAAGCCAAGGTTCAGGTGTGGTGTGCCATGGCCTGCTCTCTGGCTCTTGGGCTGAGACTGGACTGGAGGAGGTTACTGTGGATAGACATCTAGGAGGGAAGGTGACAATGTGGTACAGGCTGGGCAAGTGGTATCAGCACAGAGATGCTGCACAGTGGGCAGTGCCTGGTGATGGAGCAGTGGCTGGGTATTGAAAAGGTATCAGGGCCTGGCCAGTGGGCTGGGAGCAGCAAGAAGTGGCAGGTGTTGGGGGGACTGTCAGCTGACCCTCCAGTGCGGGACCCTGTCCTACTATGGTGGGAGCTCAGTACAGATGTGTGTAGTAGACCAACCAGTGAGTCCAGCCAGCCCATTACACCCTGCCCTGTATCAGATATGCATAGCAGAGGCACTGAGAGCATGATTAATTCACCAGCTTGCATATGTGGCTGTCCTGTTCTCTCCTGAGATCTCTGGAAACCAGTTTCACCCTAGTCACTGACCCTTGGGTTCATTCTCCAGCCCTGAAAGACCTCACTCCCTCTAGTTCTAGGGGCAGACCCTTCATCACACACATGGGCCGTCCTTTTTTAAGACGCCTCTGGTCTGTCCCCTGGGTTCCTGACCCTGGTCCTCATTTCAACTGGCAGGCTGGCTGTCCTTACATCATGCTGCCCATTTTAGATGTGGGCCTCTCTGGTCTGTTTCTGGGATGGAGTGACAACTCTGAGCCAGCACAGAGGCACAGCTGTGGAGGGACAGTGTGCCACCCTTCCCAGGGACCTGGCATCCATGATGCTCTTTATACTAGTTGCCACTGCTCTTTCCTAACCTGTCCCCATGGCCTGCCACCCCTGCAGACCCCACCTTCCCTGACCACACAACACTCATGGCTGCTCTGAACCCACCAGGATAGGACCAGGCTGTGGAACTCCGGCTCTGACCTTCCTCACACTCCCACCCCACACCTCTCCCCAGAAAGCATCTCCCTTCATCTGCAGCTGCCAGTGAGTTGGCCCCTCTGAGGTGGGGGAAGGCAGTCAAGGTCACCAGGGTGTTGCTGCCCAAGCCAGGCTAAGCCAGGGGCACTCTAGGATGGAAAGACTTATCAGCTTACAGGCAGGCTCCCTCAACAGCACCCCCACACTTCCTTAGGGACAAGCTGCAAGACAGAGGGGAGCATAGCTTCTCACTCTCCAGACCCGCTGCCTGCCACACTCTTTCCTATCCTTATAGGAAAAGCCTACCCTCCACCCCCCCACCCCCACCCAGCCTGGCCAATGGGAAGTGCTCCACTCACCAATTCTTTCCCAGGAAGATGGCTTGTGCTCACTGAGGAGATAATCAGTATTCAACTGTGACTAGATGAGACATGGTCATGTCTGAGGCCCAACAAGAGGCCACTCATATAAGCCAACCCTGCTGAAGATGGTGGAGAGAAGCCTCAAGGGTAGTGAGGCTGCGTCCCCAGCACACTAATGGACTTCCAG